TATTCATTTTAAAATTTTCTTTAGGTTCGTTACTAGGCTCTGATACCAATTATAGGGTCAAAAAGCGGAGAATAATTAAAATATAGAGATAAGGGTATAATAGACAATACTCACACAAAATGACAAAAAGTATGAAACTTAATGGCAAAGTAGTATAATCCACTACACAAATGTGTCTATAGGTATTTACATAAAAAATTTATCTATGAATTGTATGAGTTTTGGGCTAGCGGAGACACGGGAGATTAGAACATTTAGCGACGATAAGAGTAGCGGTAGCGACTATGTGGTGTGAGGAACTATATGCTTGCTTTTTGAAATTAATTATCATGTTCCTAATTCACAAGATATTAACGATCTTCATTTAGAAGGGACCAACATGTACAGAAAATAAAAGCTTAGAATTCTAAAGGCCAAAAAAATTGCTTGAAGACTCCAGTGCTCCATTTATTAAAGTTTGAGGACTCTGGCTGAAAATTTCCCAAAATTTAAGCCAATTTGCAAATTTTATTCGCTATAGCTATACTTACATCTGGTTCAATTCAATCGTGCAACTATTTTTCAATTTTGTTCAGTTGGATAGTTGCACTTTAATTTAATTTCTATTGGTATAATTTAATTTTAGTTTGATTTCAATCAAGCAACTATATTTAATATGATTTTAATTAAGGAGCTTTGTTCAATTCAGCTGATGAAAATCGATTACTAAATAAAATGATCATCACACATAGTCATTAGTTGTATCGTAATTTAAGTGAACGTGATACCGTCATCATTAGTTATGATTTCATTATCGTTTTTTTATCAATTTAATTGACAGAATTGAATAGAGTTGTCCCTGTTGAAATCTGATTAAAAAATTGTTTATTTTTTATTAAAATCAGATTTTAATCTAAGTCAAAGTCAAACAATCAATATTAATCACATATTTCATGGATCCACAACTTTTCAACCGCACATTTCAAAAACTTCTATCACAATCTACTAAAAATTCAATTTTAATTCATACCAAACATCCTTTAAAGCACATTTATCCGGCTGAAAATGTAAGTTACAATTACCTGTAGAAACTATAGTTATCACAAATTGAATTACCCGCATAGCTATTCGGAGACCTGGCAATTATGTACCCTGAATCGCGTAAAGAACTCCGGATAAGATAGCAACATTAAAAATTAATTAATTGCCTAAGATTCCAAGAGGAAGAAAAAGAAGTTGAAAAGGCAAAGCAGAATTGTACGGTTACAAGAAAAAACATGGGAGGAATTTCAACTCTTTCAGCCCCAAAA